AATGGATTAAGACTTATTTATTTAACCCATATATATTGGACTTATTTATATAATTTCATTATATTAGCCCATAATATTTATTCGTATATCTTGAATTTAAAATATAATCCAAATTATTTCATGGATTTAATTTTAAATTTTTTTATATTCCTACTACATCTAAAAACAAACAGTGAAAGTCACGGTAATAACTATTTATCAGTAAAATACAGATGTGTATTTGAAATACATAACACATTCATAAGTACAACAATGAAAGTCATCTAAATACTTCCAAATTTATCTAAATACATCTAAAAACAAACCGTGAAAGTGTTGATTCTTTCGAAAATTTCTCAAATTGGGCTTGTTTCGATATGTCATTGCATATTTTTGTTCTCTTTTCCGCAATTGTATTTGCTGCTGAACCTGCAAATACATGTTCTGCTTGAGTGATTTGCAAATCGAAAGACAGCCCTTCGAAATTGAGTGCTTTGGTCGGTATACCTCGGTTAACCCTCTTGTAAGGAGTTGAATCGGCTATTGAAGAAGAAAATTCGAGGTTTCTGTAAAAGGATAACAATGGTGATGGTTTCTACGAATATATATATATATATANAAGTATAGAAGAATACTGAACACATAATAGAAAGGAGCATTTAGTTATAGGTAGAGTAAAATATATATATATATATATATATATATATATATATATAGAATAATACATGTTCCATCGAAAAACTAACAAGTTTAACACTTACCACAATTTTTTTGGGCTTTTGAAAATTGAGAGCGAGAATGGAGATGAATCAGTTGATAATAGAGGTTGTATTCGTGGGGAAGATACTGGGTTGGGAGAGAGATGGTGGAGAGAGAATGTGTGTTTAACAAAATTGTATACAATACCGGTATTATTGGGAGAGAGAGAGTAGAAATTATAAGAGAGAAAAATATTTCACAGCGTATTTAATGGCTTAATAGTAGGAAGTGATCATAAATAGATAATTTGCTATAAAACCTAAAAGGTAGCTATAGGATATAATTTTATAAAAAAATATTTATTTATAATAAATAAGGTGTAAAGGTTTGCTATAGGAGGTAAAAATTTCAAAAAGGAAATCTTTTTTTTTTTTTTGTGGCCAAATGGGCCTTTAATTTCGAAAAAAACGAGAGAGCACATATCAAATGCAAGTATATAACCATTTCATATCAAATGGATTTTCCATTGACATTTTAAAGTCGCCTGAGAACCATATAAAAAGACTTCCTTGATGGTTATTTTGTCAAATTTCTTCTCACTTATTTCAACGATATGATTGTACTGTTGAAAAGTTTGAAAGCTTTAATGACTTGCTATATATATAATCATGTCCAGAATAAATAAACACATTCCAGAAATACGATTATTTCAACTATATGATTATAGTGTCTACAAATTTGAAAACTTTTGGACTATTGTTAGAAATGGGATAAAAAAAAGTGGCATTCTCTTTTCAGAAAGTGTGAGATCTTATATATACTCAGCAAAATCTGGAGAACCTATTGAGTGTTGGCCTTGTCATTTGCCTATAATGAGAAATAAATCATCACTTGAGCCGTTTCAAATATTTTTTTTTTCTTTAGAACTTTTTGTTGGCACGACCAAATGTTTCCACCTTCTAAAGTTACAAAGGGAATTATTGATACCATGTGTTGTGTATTTGTTTCTTATAGTCAACAAATCATTACAACTATTGTTTGATTTTGGGCACTATTTTATTTTTCTGTTAGTGGGATATGTAACGATTTGTTGGACAGCCTAATGAGTAATGATCGTGTCTAATCATTTTGCTTCTGACCATAAACTTGAAAGTATTTTTCAGCTAATATAATTTTACAAAACGTCCCACAAGAAAAGAATAGCCTGATATGAAACATCTGTTAGAAATTTTTGGGCTTTCCCGTTATGGAAAAAATGAAACTGTATAGCCGCTGTAAAAATAATAGCCGAAAAAATATATAAAATATGTATATTTTGTATATATATATATTTTGTATGTTATATACAAAAATTATATAAATTTTATATACTTTTTGGCTACCAGATATAAATAATTTCTGCCGGGGGCTAAAAATGATAATACTCCTTCCATTATTTCCTTGTTACTGCCTTTTGGGCTTCATTATGGATCCGCTGTTGCGCTAACATCTGGTGAGCAATGTCCAAACTAAATTGGGTCAATTTTTGGTCATGATTCAATCTCTCACCGGTACCCTTTTTAACAAGGGATTTTTTCCTATCTATACCATATATGAAACTTTATTACCAAAAATATGCATAGTATCTAAATTACCCGCCTGGTCCATATTTTTCCTACAATTTCTGTACCATTTGTTTAATACACGATTAATTGAGCAGAATCTTCCATAATTAACGCGCTAAAAATAAGGAGAGAATCTTGGGATTAATTAATTCTAAATTAACACGCTAAAAATAAGGAGAGAATCTTGGGATTAATTGATTATACATTAAAATCAATTTTTAAAAGGGAGGAAATATCAAATCTGCGTATTTCTCTCTAGGACTACAATTTAAATCTCGAAAAAAAAAAGAACGAACAGCTTCTAAAAATAAGAACAGATTCAACTACTAAGAGTTTCGACGAGCTGAATTCAAATTGTAGAATTCAAATTTTCGAGAATCAACAACGCAAAGTTGATAAATTCCGTTCTTCGTCGTTTCTTCTCTCAAATTGTCGATCATATATATCTGTTCTTCATCTTTTTTTTTTCTCAATATAGAAATCCAAAAAAACATCAACAACAACAAGAAATCATGTCCAAAATAGCAAGCATGCTACAATTTAATGGGGATTGGGATAATTATGGCAGATTTAGAGATTTTGAAGTTGATGCCATTGTGGTAGATGAGAATGCAAGCTACAGTATCCTGATTTGTACAATTGGAGAACAAGTACCAATTGATACTACAGAAAAAATTGTAGAAATCAAATACATCGTGAAATCAAATAGTAGATTGTAGATAATTTATAGACAAATTGTAGTTAATTCGTAGATTGTAGATAATTTGTAGATATAATTGTAGATACGTTGTAGATAAATTGTAGATAAACTATTTTATGATTGTAAATATTTTTATTGCTGTTTGTTATGTAATTCTAGGTGGGTTTCAACAGATCATATCCATACTGTGATAGATGGTGTGAAGCGGTACATGATACATTATAACTACTATTAACTACAAAAACTCTACAATTATGTATAAAACCAGTTCTACAATTCAAACAAATTTACCTACAGTTTACCTACGGTGAATGTACAAATTACCTACAGTTTAAGTACCTTATATAAGAATAACTACAATTTATCTACAGTTACAGGGCAAACAGGAAACACATCATCCACAATCATGTCTACATTATATCTACATTTTAGACTACAATTAATCTTGGAATGTTCTACATAAACTACAAACAAACTACAATTACACTACAAACAGTAAAACTAGGTGAGGGCTTCAACAGATCATATCCATTACACTAAATTTACAATTACACTACAATTACATTTTTTTATAACTCTTTTGTTTCTAATTTCATTTTTTGCTTCTCCAATGATTTTTGTTCGGATCATGATTTTTATTTGGAGTCTTCGTGTGCTTGCAAATTTGAACTGGGTGTGGATCTAGTTGCTCGCTCCTCGTCATTGCTGTTGTTGTTGTAAGCAAGCTTCTGTTTTGAAAAAAAATAAAGCTACATGTTTGTGAAAAGAAGTTGGTGCTCAATGAATTTAGAACGCCCGGTACTTAGCCTTTCTACATTCCACTTACTCGAACAGGCTGATAATTGCGAGGAAATCCACCTGCCATCCTGAAAACCATAGATATTGCTTTAACGGTAAATATTGAGTTCTCCTCCATCGATATATTCTTTTTTTGATAACGAAGAAATCTTTCTAAGTCGTTTGGAGAAGTTGTCGGCAGCTTTTCATATTAGTCTCTTTACCAATAATTTCTCATTTTTGACTTTTCCAGAAGAGGGAATTTTGTTTGGTTACAGAAGAGGGAAAATGGTAAAAAGAATGTGGGGTATGGGTAAAAACATGGGTGAGGGGATGAGGGGTAAGGAGAGAGAAACGTGAGATATATGGATACCTTTAATTAAGGAGTAAAAACTGCCATTAATTAGATACGGATATCTTTAATTAAGGAGTAAAAACAGCCCATTAATTAGACCCTTAAGTAAGTATGGTATAGGATTGGTAATTTGGTGTAGTAAGTGTAATTTATTCAAACCTTAAACATGTAGGGTAAAAAGGTTTCCTATGTGGTATAGGAATGTAAAAATTCCTTTTAACAAATAATTAACCCAAATAATCGTCTACCTAATCTCTTAAATTAAAAATAGCCGGCGGATATATAATATCGATAAATGACGTATAATATATATAAAACTGTGTATATTCTATATATCGACTAAAAAAAGTAAATAATGAATTTGGCAGGCTATTGAGCTATTCACTTGTTTGGGAATGGTATCTAGATAAGTTGAGAGAGTTTGTCATAATCGAATTTGTCCAAGTCGAAATCACTCTTTCATTTGTTCATGTTTCCTCATTTCCTAGATATACACTTAAGTTGCTTAAAAAAAAGTATTCTGCAATAAACGGAATTTATTATCATTCATTAAAAACCATACTTGACTCCTATTTCCTACCTAAACCCATGTTGAAACTCTTTGGACGTGGGCCAAAATTGAGATAAATAGCCATATTTACAAATATCCGGCCAGATTTAATGTTTACTTTTTCTAAACGGTATATATAAATTATAGATTAATTATAAATAGTTTTATATATATATATATATATATTATATCCGCTGGCTACTTTTAGCTTAAGAGATTAAGTGCGCGGCTATTTGGTTAATTCTTCAATATCCATTTTTTTGGGTCTTCACAGTCCATTGTATTACTCATTATTGGGCCTCAGCTGGGCTTCAATTTTAACGAACTTCCGGACATTTCACATCACACTTCAACTGAAAATCAGTTAGCTTCTTTTCTGCTCCACAAACTGGATCGATGGCATCCAAGTCACCACCACCGTCGCCGTCTTTGCTCCGCCGCATCGTCGATCTCGACACCGCCATCTCCCTCCGTCTCTACACCCTAACTCACCCAATCCTCCCTTATTACTTTCTCAAAACCCTAGAAATCTCCGGCGATGGTTTCCTCTTCTTCCCTTTAATCCTCTCACTACTCCTCTACCCTCTCACCTTCTCCACCACCACCGAAACTACTAACAACATTTTCCTAATCAACCTCCTCCTCGGCGGAATAGTCGACCTAATCGTAATCGGATCCCTCAAACACCTTATTCGGAGGCCCCGACCCGTTTACAACAAAAACATGTTCCTCTCTTTTTCCGTCGACCATTGGTCCTTCCCTAGCGGACATTCATCTAGGGTTTCATTTATAGCCACTCTCTTTTACCTTTACTCCGATTTCGTTAAGGATATATTGATTCAGCTTAAATATGATCTATTGGTGGATTATTTAATGCTTATTGTGATCGGATGGGCGGCAACGACGTCGTTGTCTAGGATACTTCTTGGCCGTCATTTCATGTTCGATGTTGTTGCTGGTGTATTTTTGGGTGTTCTTGAAGGGATGTTTGTGTTTTGGATTTTCAATTATGTGACTTTGACCTAATTCTTGAGATGATAAAGTTGTAAGCTTTAATCCTTTTTGGTTTGTGATTGTTAATGTTGACGTAAAATTTATATGAATGTTAGAAATTTTGTCTCAATTTGTATATCTCGTAATGCTTTACTGTGTTAAAAGGCAAATTATTGAGTATTAGAATGACACTGTGCAGCTATGGAGTTAGGAATTTATACGAGGGGATTGAAAAAAAGAATAGAATGTCACATTTGGGATTTGAACCTGTGATAGCAATTTTTTAACCTTCTTTGCCACTACACTGTACTTTTACGCATATCAAGAGGATTCAACGGCTTATATGTAACAGAAAAGTTTGGTTTTTCCCTATTCACGCAGTGTAATTTTTCAACAAACTGAATTCCCTTCACTCCACCTAGCTCCTCCACTGATAATGTGGATTCATATAGCTTAGCCAACCCTACTTGGTCTTGGGAGAAATTTTGTTTTTATCTCTCAATATGCTTGTGACTTCTCCCAAGTCTCAACTGAATTTGCAGATCCTGTGATGAGAAGGAAAGGTGTAAATATTATGTTTTTCCTACTTATCGAAAAGAAAATATTACTACTATTGTTTTTTTCCTTGAATTCAGAATATTCTTTAGCTCAAACACTTAACCTTATGTAGGCCTCAAAGTTTTCTAACAGGATCAACTGTTCATGTTCATTGAAATTTGACTCCGGGAGTAATGATATCTGACCTTTATGTAGACTGAAATAGTTTTCGACCAGCAATCGGCATCAGTAGGAACCTTAAACACAATAACCTTTATATAGACTGAGACCACTTCTGGTTGGCAATTATCTATGGACTTAAGCTGATGATGCTATACTAGCATGAATGTCTATTCCCTTGTATGGATATGTCAAATCTTCTTGATTCTTGGAGATTTTTGGTTATTGCATAATCAACTCAGGGAGAAATTGTGCTATTTATGAACGGAGAACTCTTCTAGAATGCTCAGCATTACTAGGTTTATTCCGAAACTGCAAACTGTTTTTGTTTTTAATTGAAACTATTACACCACTCATAAAATATTGCTTCAGAAAATTCTATTAACTCAGATTTAGCTGCATAAAATTCCAATTGCATGACACAGAGCACCCTTGAGCTCCATTTCTTTCTTGGTTGACTAGTGACATTAAGTTAAACACATCTTGAAGTTTGCATCTGTTTTATTTGGTCCAATTTTTGGCCTATGTTATTGACCCTTTCGTTGTGGTTGAAAAGCATTACAACGCCCTCCTTTTCGTTCCCACGTTAATGTTTTGTGCTTCTCCATTAAACCATGTGATGTTGTCATATATTGTAATGCTTCTTGGTCATCTCTAAAGCAACTCTCGGGCAATTGTTGATTTCTGGAGCTTCTCCGAGGCTATTTTGAGATTCATGCATCTTTCATCAAGTGTGCAAGTGAACTGGTTGCTTGGAATTTTTGCTGCTCCCTTTAGATGTTCCGCGTTCTTCCCACTCTAGAGTTGCTAATTACACTGAAAATCTCCAGTTATTTTTTGATTTTTTCTGTTTGGCACATTTGACATTATCTGGAACTTTTATCTTTTACAGTAGTATAGAACATGGAAGACATAAATGAACAGAATTCTTCATTTTCATAGTTGAAGTGACATCTATGGCTGAATCATTATGGGCTCTATGGAGAATAAAAGGATCTCAGTAACTGTGTCCCTAGTTGTTGAATCAAATGAACACTGAAACTTCCTTTCATCTAATTGTCTTCAGTGAAGTCTCATAATTGTTTTTGTCTGTTTTTTGTGTTCACATGATTCATGATTGATTTTTCTATGTTTTTGCTGTAGCAGTTTTATTATTATCACGTTGCTCTGCAGAACTATATGTGGTCCTCTCATGTTTACTTTGAGTGCAACTTTCATGATAAGCTAGGAGCATTACACTCTAGGTCAGTCCAAAGATAGTATTCCAGTTGTTGCTTTCCTTAAACTTTTTTACAACATCTCCATGTGGTGGTCCTGCCATATTCAAACTTACACCCCTAGATGTTTATCTGCTATTATTCATGTTGAGTTGGTAAAAAAGTAGGCTGGTTTACTATTGTTACTTGGAACTTCTGTGCCTTCTGATTTGTTCAAAAGATTAGCTGAAGGTTCATTGGTTGTCATTGGACCAGCTTTGCCGTAGCAAGCACCTGTGGTTCTCTCTGGCCAGTAATGCATGGAAGTGAAGAACAACAAATCTCTGGGAGTCTCCTTCTTCCTTTCACCCAATGCAAAAGATACATATCAACATTCACTCAAGACTTCTTTAATTTATCGAATCTGTCTTTTTTTCCTTTGACAACAGCTGTGTACGAGTCAGCTTGCACGTACCTCGACTATTCTACCGAGTATTTATTACTTCCCACCATCACAGGTACAAGGTAACTCTGCCCACCAGCAAATTGTTTTTTGAGTTATAGTCTTCTCGAGTTATATGATCTTATGAACATAAATATGAATTTTACTTGGTGGGTTGATGCAATTTTAGAAAATGATTGATGATGCCAAAACCATGTCTCCATAGTCCTTTGGACAAGGAATCTTGGCCTCGGTCAAGGTCAAATTTTGTGGCTTAGTCTGAAAATGACCTAACATTGAGACAAGGCTGAACTCTAGGAAGATTGATAATGGTTATTCAATTTCAGACCTCTGCTTTGCTTTGTGTTTGTAATGCAGGGTCTGCATTAAATATACACTGTTAGGGCAACACGTGTGACAATTTCTTGGCCTCATTGACCCTGTTAAATTTGGCATCTGTCCATTATATTGCTAGATGTGTATTTTAGTCATTCCTGAAACAGGGAAAAAGGAGGATGGTACATGCCCCAGAAAGCAAAAGGAAACTGCACTAATATTTGGCCATAAGTTGAAATAGATATAGCTGTCTCTGTGTGAATTTCATGAATGATATTCTGGCAATGTTTACAGTGGTGGTAATATATTGAATAGGGCAATAGATATGATAAGGAGCATGTCGGATTTTAGTGCAGAAATAGTGTGCATAAGGTACACTGACATGGATGAGAAGGATGTGTCTGCAGTTGGAAAGAAAAAAAAGACAGATCCACCACTAGAACCTCTGTCACACTTTTTAAAGTTTTTACCCCACAAAGCCAATGTCACACGAGGGGCTTTTGCAGTTTTGCCCCCACCCCCCACCCCACCACCACCACAAATCCCCTCAACCCCACGTTTGGTTTCTCTCTTCTTTTCTTTGTTGTGCAAATCTACTTTTAGTTCCTGTTTTCTTTGTAATGTGAGTCTACTTTTGTTTCCTATTGCTTTCCCTGTTTGCTTCCCCTCCTCCCTTTTCATTTCCCAACTGAATGTGCAACACTAGTTATGCCGAAATTGTAACGCAGGGTTGTTTTAGGGGTGTCAAATGGGCGGGTTGGGTCAATTTTGGGCGGGTCAAAATGGGTGGAGTCAATAATTGGGCGGGTCAAATGACCCGCCCAAAAGTTACTTGGGCTAAGATGGGTAGGGTCAATGGGTTAAAATTTGGGTCATAACCCAACCCGCCCAACTCTTATTAAACTTTAATTAATATGTGTTATTTTCATATAAATTGTATAATTACTAAATAAGGCTTTTTTGCTTTTGTTATGGTCATATTTAAAATATTAAACAAAAAATAAAATTATTTCTAAGATATTTTGACAAACTTGCTCATGGATCAATTTGGGCTAAAAATTAGTTCAACTTTAAATGGGTTGAGATGAGTTGGGTCAAGATGGGTTAAGCTCAATAAATGGGCGGGTCAATAACCAACCCAACCTTGGGCGGGTTGGGCGGGTCATTTGGGCTTGGGCCAAATTTGACAGCCCTAGGTTGTTTATGCGCTGAAGAAATCATAATACGGTGGTTAATAATGTAGAGTTAACTATGCGACGAATAGTAATATTGGCGATGTTATGCAAATGGAGTATAGTGCAAATTTTACTTATATAAGATTAAGGATAGACAATCTCACTCTTTCACATTAGAGGTTGAGGAGTAGCTTAATTGGTGAGCGCTCAGTCTTTCGGCGTTGAGGTGGAGGGTTTAAACCTGAATAATAGCATAATATTTCATTCATCTTTCCCCCATATTTTTTAAATATTTATATGTAATAAATATGTATTAGTATATATTATCCATATGCTCTATAAAAACACTCACATGCAAGTTTTTGTGGAGGTCATTCAACGCTATGAATTTGTCAAACAAAGGATTTAATGAAATGCTGACATGCTGACTGACACCCAACTTTTATCAAATAATTGTTGTATATATTTTATAATAATATAATAACTATACTAAGTTTACATCAATTCAAACAAACTTAAACTAGAATCTGATCCTGAACCTAAAGTTCCCAAACAGAGAAAAGCAAAGCTAATGATATTTCCCCCATTTTAATAATTCTTTTTTCATTGCTTGCCTCCCCCCTCCACCCCTTTTGGCGTTTTCTTTCTTTTTCCATTGAAAGGCAGAAAATCTACTTGATGAGTTGAAAATAAGTTCTACTTCACCTGCCAATTTATATGATTTCTTTCTTTTGAGACGTCCAAAATATTTAGTAAAATTCAAGTTTCATACAATTTTCACCGCCTTCAAAAATTTAAATTAGTAAGATATCCAAATTTATAACTTTGGCGTTATATTTTCTCTGTCAACTTAATTTCAACAATTACTTTCTGCAGCTATGGTCACTGCCAACCTGCCATAATATATACTATAGGCTAAATTGGAGTAAATGTTTTTTTTTTTCAATCACCGTCATATTAGACAGAGGGAGCTATAAAAAAAAAAGAAAGCACCTTTACAGAATAAAAGGTATTTATGGGATAGTACCAAGTGTAGATATATGGATGGACTGATAAGAAAGCTTCTAAACAACCAAAATTGGGACTGGCATTTGTGCAGGGAAATTTAGGCAATACGTACAAACTCCAGCGGTGATACAGACATTGCTTTTATAATCAATAGATCCCTTTCGCAGGTGAAAACTTTATCACTTTGACACAGCATTTCTGTCATTTACTACAAACGTTATTTTTGAGGTTGAAGTAAACATAAAACAAAGGGAAACAAATTCCAAAAATTAGACCGTGAAAATAAGCAGATGCACACATGTTGACCTAGAAATCATTGTTATAAAAAATAAAAAATAAAAATGAAACCCAAAATAAAATGTTTTCTTAAAGACTGATGTGTTTTCTCTTTTCATCAACCTAATTCTTAACAGTAATACTATGTCCATTGTGTAACTCAATCGATAAAATTGAGGGTAATGAATGTATGGGTCAAAATCTGATCACATGTGGATTAGCGCTAAAAGGAACGGTAAGGGGTCGACTAAGTCGTGGTCGTACCCACAAGGCGTAATAACGACGAGTATCTCGGCCACTGCCGAGATCGTGCCATCAGAAAGTTTGTACGGCAAAGTAAATATCGTGATACTTAGGGAAGCGACGCAAAGTGAGATCAGGAGAGGAAAGTCCTCTGGTTAAAGACCATTGGACAAAAGGGAATACGGATGATATATATAGGAGGGAAGAAGACAGAAAAAGGGGGCTCCTCTCCCAGAGAGAAAAAAGGCAGAAGAACCAGAGAAAGGTATAGGAGAAGAACACGAGAAGTTGCAGATCTTGGCATTAAATCTTTGTAATCGTCTTTCTTGAATCAACAAAGATAAATCCTGCGATTATCAAGGGCATTCCCCCTGTTCCTCCTTTATTTTTACATTATGGGACGATACTTCATGAATGTAAGCATATTATTTATATTTGATATCTTTTATAAATCTTGAAAGTTCATGAGCTTGACTATATCTTATTCTCCTATTCAATATACTTTGATGTTTAATCTAGAGTTAATTATCCTTGGCTAAGATTTATCCTCTATACTCTTATTAATTAGTTTAACGAAAAGCTTAGCACTTTTTGGTCAAACAATTTGGCGCCGTCTGTGGGGATTTCTTAGCCAAAATTTTAGTTTCCTCTAGATCTAAAACTAGCCAAAGTATCACTTCCCGGCTGTCATAGCCTCACCATCTCAGTATAAAACACCAACTCGAAAGTGATAGATAAACTTTTGAGACAACCAAACCAATCTGGGTCAGATCTCTACATGAAATCGAAGGTCCAATGTCTAAGCAAAACCCACGCCTCGCCTACATCGATGGGTTCGGCACGTCGTGTGAGTACTCAAAGTGGGATTACGGCCGCTACGCACTTAGCATGCCCGCAATCCTACTCGTCGTATTTACTTTAAATACTGACCTGTATTCACACCTCTAGGGAAGGGATGATAGCCTGTTGTGTGATTCTTTGAAAGGGAATCCACCAACGCATACACAAGGCAACGACGCACGATATTCTCCAATGAAAGCAAAATTTAACAAACCGGGACTCATCCCGACGCACAGTATTCTCCAATGAAAGCGAAAGTAAACAAACCAGGACTCACCTCAACGCACGCATAAACAATGCAATGATGAGTGATGTTCTCCAATAAAAGCGAGGCAACAGAAAAACAAGCATCATCGCCAAGTAAAAGGGAAATTCGACTACGTCGAACTCAAAACGGGTTATAATTCGACCTCGCTCGAATTAACATCCTCACGGCCATAGGCCATCGCCAAATGGGTTACATTCGACCTCGCTCGAATTAATACCCTCACGGCCATAAGCCATCGCCAAACGGATTACAATTCGACCTCGCTCGAATTAACACCCTCACGGCCATAGGCCATTGCCAAATGGGTTCCATTCGACCTCGCTCGAATTAACACTCTCACGGCCATAAGCCATCGCCAAATGGGCTACAATTCGACCTCGCTCGAATTAGAACCCTTACGGCCATCAGCCATCGCCAAGTAAAAGGGTTACAATTCGACCTCGCTCGAATTAACACCCTTACGACCATCGGCCATCGTCAAACGGGTTTCAATTCGATCTCGAACTCACAACGAGTTACGATTTCAACCTTGCTCGAATTCACACCCTTACGGCCATCAGCCATCGCCAAGTAAAAGGTTTACAATTCGACCTCGCTCGAATTAATACCCTTACGGCCATCGGACATCGCCAAACAGGTTACAATTCGATCTCGGACTCACAACGGGTTACGATTTTGACCTTGCTCGAATTCACACCCTTACGACTGTCGGCCATCACCGAGTAGAAGTAAAAATGCGCTTGCCCGAATCAGATTAAAGTTCGACCCCATCGAACTCAAAATGGGTCATAGTTCGACCTCACACGAGCTCGCCCCCCGCCATTGCTAAACTCACCATGCGAAATTGACTTTGCCCAAATTGGTAAGTCTAAATTCGACCTCGCTCGAATATACAAGTCAAAACTGACTTCGCCCAAGTTGGCAAGTCTGAATTCGATCTCGCTCGAACATACAAGTCAAAGCTGACTT